GCTGGGTGTTGGCGAGTCATGGAGTGTGATAGAGTAGACCCACCCTCGTGGTACCCATTGTCCCTCCATCCAAATCCCCTTCATAGGACTGGGGCTCTGCCCAGTGGTACAGTGCTTGCCTGAGGTCCTCAGTTCCATCCTTAGCATTGCAAAAAAAAAAAAAAAATCCCTTTCACAGTTAATTTCTCATTTGTAGATTCAAGTTGATAATGTGCCTGCATTATAATGCCAACCTGCTTTTCTTTCCCCCACAATCATCATGGGGTTTTCCCAGGAAAAAGAAATGCAGCAAAACGAATGTTTTCTTTCCTAAGGACAAATGCAAGCAAAGGTACCGGTTTGAAGACACAGCAGTCCACCAAGGCCCCAGGCAGGGGTCTGCTTGCTGCTGTGGAGAGGTGCTGTCTCTGGATCCCTCCATCTGCTATTTCCAAGCCAGCACTACTTGGGTGAATCAATTTAAAAAACAAACTAGGACTGGGCAAGGTAGTGCATGCCTGTATCTCCAGCACTTGGGAGACTGAAGCAGGAGGATCTTGAGTTTGAGGCCAGCCTGGGCTACACAGCCAAGCCATCTCTGGACCCAGGGGACCTCCCTGGGAACTGGAATTAGATCTGTGACTATGAAATTCTTCCTCTCTGGCTTCTAGAAGCCCCTGCCAAGCAGGTAACAGAACCACTACAGACTGCAGAACCTCCTCTTCTTTCTTTTCTTCTGGCCAAGAAAATTATTAGTTCTCTGGTATAGAGAGAAGGAGAAGGAGAGGGAGAGGGAGAGGGAGAGGGAGAGGGGGAGGGAGAGGGAGAACATGAATGAATGAGGTTTCAGTTCTAGACTATAAACCTGGAAATAGACTGAATTCAGTGGGGTCAGCCTAAAAGGGAAGCTAGACTCACCAGGCAGGAGGTTTGCTCTGGTGCTGGTCTTGCTGGTAAGTACATCTATACACTTTGTCTTCTCTTGGTGGTTCTCAGTGGTTTCTCAGGCCTCTTCCATCTCTGTGAGACCTTTTTCAAAGGCTCCATCTCAACAATTGCATCCCAGGCCCACACCTGCTCCCTCCTCCTGCCAGGTACACATTGGCATGGCACTGCCTGCCCTCCACTCAGAAGGGACTTCAAAGAATTCCAAGCAGTCCAAAGAAGCATCCAGACAAGCTGCCTCCCTGTGGCTCATGGAGACAGCACACATGAGCCTTTTTGGTTCATGAGCTGTTGCCAAGAAACCCAACCAACAGGGGTGGCAAGGCTGTTCCTGCATGGTGCCCATCTTCATGTGGCATTTTTCTTTTTTGGTATGACTGGGAGAACTGGGATGAAAAGCTAAGCTCTTTCTCTCCATTTTCATGCATCTTTAATTGAAGTTGTTTGGGGGGATGGTTCTGTGTCACTGGCCTGAAGCAACTTGGCTTCTCTTGCTGAGTGGGCTGTGGTCTCTTATGACCAGTACTTGTCATCTGTGAAGTTGTGGGGATGGCTGTAGAGGGAGACTGACAAAATGAGTTCCCAGATCTCTGTCCTGGGTCAGGAGGACAGGCAGTCATATGCACCCCCTAAGCCAGGCTAAAGTGAGAACATGGGTTCGGTCAATGTGACAGGATAACCAAGAATGTGGAATCAGACTAGAATCAGGGTGGGGGCTTTGTGTGATTCAAATAATTGATGAGGCGGAAGAAGCAAGCCAGGGGAGGGAAGGACACAGCTGAGGAAGTGTCAGGAACCTCTACCGCCTGGACTGAGAATCACCAGTGGGTGGTGCTGTAGGACAAGGAGCTAAGGTCTCTGTCAGAGAGCGGCTGTGGGCCTGGGTGGGAGGGCCTATAGGCTGGGGGCCCTAGAGGACACCCAGGACAAGGCTTGGGTTTTTGCTTTTTACTTTTTTTTTTTTTTTTTGGTGGCACTGGGGTTTGAACTCAGGGCCTCACTCTTGCTAGGCAGGCATTCTTACCAGTGGAGCTATTCCACCAGCTCCTTAGAGGACACCCAGGCTGGTGCTCCCAGGGCATCTATCACAGTCCTTGGAAGTCACACAATGCATGAGGCAAGTGATGGGATAAACAAACAACCTTTCCTGGGCATTTGCTGGCTGAGCCCTTCCTCTCCATCTCACTCCTTTCAGGTCCTTTGAAAAGCAGGTCTGGTACGGCCACCTGCAGGTGGGTATCTCTCATTGCCAAAAGTGGGCTGACTCCATCCTTTAGAGCATGGAGCCCAATTCTACATCCTTTGGGAAATTCTGCTGTCTCCTGATGTGCAACCTTCTCTTAGAATACGGGATTTCAGAGCAAAAAGGTGGCCTGGCTTCAAAGCATCGAGAACACCCACTCTCATCCCTCATCCCTCCTCATCCCTCATCCCTCATAGGCTCTGGTCCTCGCTCCTTTCCAGTGTGCATCAGTAATATGAAAATAAAAATTCATATTTATCTATAGGTTAAAAGTGCCAGGCCCCGCCTTAACACATTCTACACATTCCTGAAGATCACCATTATCTATTTTAGCTCAAGGAAACACCCTGTGATGTGCCGGATCCTGTCTCAAAGACGAAGGGCAGAGAAGAATGATACTTACTCAAAGTCATGCAGAAGTCACTGGCAGTGTTATCTGTGCTACCATCTGACTCAGTGGCCAGCCTCCTACCACCTCCCTCCCCTCTACCAGGCTTGGCTGCTCTGAGTGGCTCAGAATGGCTTCAGCCAAATGCTTGTCTCCTGGTTCTGGCAGTGGGAGTGGGCTGGGGTCAGGTTCCGGAGGGGTCAGTGTTATGAACTGGCTCTGAAGGGCTGCAGCAGGGGTGTGGGCGTGTGGATGGGGAAGCTCCCTCAGAGCTGCGACATAGCAACAGTTGAGGCCCCGGGCAGCCACCGGAACCCAAAATCTCCCTGCCCAGGCCAAGGGATGCTCCCAGTGCACTGAGCACTTACCAGGAGCTGATCCAATCCAGGGGACCTGGACTGTGAGATGTGAAATTCCTGATTGGCGGGGGGGTGGGTGGGAGGGAGGGGGCTTTCCTTCTGGAGGGAGGACAGGCAGTAAAGAAATAGAGAAACTAGAGCCAGCTCACTGCATTGCAGAGAACGAAACGGGAGGGTGTGAGTTTACCTGGGGTCACTTCAAGAAGGCTTTCGAGGAGAGACTCAGCTAAGATCTGCACACAAGGAGGCAGGTGACAGTGTGGGGTCCAGTGTAGCAGGTAGAGAGAAAAACACACACAAAGCCCGCAGCAGGAATAAGCAGGAGGCCAGAGCACGGCAGGTGGAGATGGAGGGAGAGGCCGTGGGCTTTCCCTCAGGAGTGACAGAAGCCACTGAAGGCGAAGGGGCTGCTCTGGAGAGAAAGGGTTTGGAGGGGTCAGGAAGCAGGAGGTGGTTAAGAGCACTGCTGCAATTTTCCAGAGATGAGGCAGGTGCGTCGCAGGGTGGTGGGTGTGGGGATGGACAGATGTGGCTGGCTCAGGCTTAGGGTTTTTTTTTTGGTGGGACAGAGGTTTGAACTCAGGGTTTTGCACTTGCAAAGCAGGCACTTGAGCCACACCTCCAGTCTATTTTGCTCTGGTTATTTTTGGAGATGGGGTCTTGCAAACTCTTTGCCCAAGCTGGCCTCGAATCACGTCCTCCTGAGTTCCGTCTCCTAAGTGGCTAAGATTATAGCTAGTGCCCAGCTTGGTTTTGTTTTTTGATTTTTTTTTTTTCTTGAGACAGGCTCTCACTGTGTAGCCCAGCTGGCCTTGAACTCTCCATCCCCTTGCCTCAGCCTTCCAAACGCTGGGATTACAGGTGTGGCCACCACATGCACCTCAGACTCTGTGATTAAAGGTAACACTGATAGTTTTCTGATGGATTAGATGTAGGGCGTGAAGGGAACAGAGTAATGAAGGGCTGAGTGGACAGGGATCTCATTTATGACGTGGGAAAAACAGAGGTGGGGAGCAAACAGGGCTGGGGAGTGGTAGGAAAAAATAAGTATTCTGCCTTGGTTGTGTTGGTTAGAGGTGAATCCCAGATCCCTGCATGGAGATGTTAGGCGGACAGTCAGACAGGTGAGAGGAATTCCAGGAAGAACTCTAGGTTGAAGGTCAGCGCGGGAATACTTACTTACACGCCTGTCTCGGGAAAGGCACTGTGGGTATGCCATGGAGGTGAGCACACCTTGAGAAGGGAGCTTCAGTGACATCTGGTGAGTCTCAGTTCAGTTAACTCACCAGTTCCGGATTTACTGGTTTGCAAATAAAGACACAGAGGAAGAGGACAAATAGTCTTTTTATATCAAAAATTGGTCAGCATATAATTCTGGGGGAGAAGCCCACGACCCTGCAGAAAGTTTGCAGGAGGACATACCCTGGAGTTGGCTGGGAAGTTCCCCTGCCTGAGCACCCTTGGCCCTTACTCGCCTCTCCTTGGGGAGGGGTCAGCATCCCAGTTAGTCCTGCTGGAGAAGCCCACCTTGGCCAGCCTGATTGACAGGTCACTGGCACTGAGGGAAGGAGGCCCCAGAGCAATGATGCTTCTCTCAGGTGTCCCAGAGAGAGAATTCTGCTCTGGCGAGGCACCAGGCATCCCAAACAGAGCAGTTAAAACTCATGTTTAAAATAAAAAATGAGAGCTTTCCAAGTGTGTCACTGTCACGCTTTCTGCAGGAAATCACTGGTTGTTCTTAATGGCTTATGGGCAGAACTAGGGACCCAACCCTTATCCTCGATTTTTAAAAACTTCCTTGTAATTTGGGTTTATCTCATCAGATGAGGGTTTTTGAAGAAGGTAGGGTGAGCTTGCCTGAAGAGAGGCCCCTGGTAGTGGGTCCCTGGGGTAGGGTAAGACCAGTGTTGGCTAATCTAAAGGGAGGGGGCTCTTACCAAAAATAATTAATCTAAGACCTGAATCTGAGGTCCTTACAGCAGCAGGCCCTGCACCAAAATGGGGGCACCTTACTGGAGTTGGGCAAGAGAAGGGGGTCCTTCTGGGGATTTTCTGCCATGGAGACGTCTTCTCCGGCAGGCGACGTCTAGGGATGAGTGTAGTTGCCCATCCTCAGGGTCCCCTGGCGCACGGCTCGCTCTTCCCGGTGGGCTTTGAGTGCTCTCTGGCGATCAGCCTCGGTTGGGAACGTGTGGAGATGGGGGCCCACCTGCAGACAGAAAGGAAGACAGGTGGGTAACAACTCACTCCAGTTGTTCCTCTTCTCCCCCTTCCCCACCCCAGCCTCAAAAAGTAGCTACAAAGGGCAGACAGGGAAGCGCTGAGAGCCCTGGCACTGAGCAGGGAGGAGCCGGAGACCTGAGGCAGCCATTGTTTTAGGTCTTGTCCAGCTAGCTGCTGGGGAAGAGGTATGCACAGTAAACGTGACAGAACTGGAGTCTCCACTTGTTAGGATCATGTGTCATCCTTCACATGCTGGTTTTTCTACCTTTAAAACTTCACATAAGCCATCCTCCCCAAGGAGGACCTTGTGGCTCTCGAGCACTGCTGCCCTGGAAGGACAGTCTCACTCCCCCGACCCTCCACAGCCCCAGAACCAGAGCTCAAGGGCGCATCGCCTTGCCCTGCTGTACACAAAACAAAACAGGAGAGGCAGGTAGGTCCACAAAACAGTAAACCAGGGAGACGGAGCCCCACCCTCCGGGGGTTTACAATCTGGAAGGACAGCAGACGTCCAGCAACAACTGGACAGCTATTGCATTACAGTTTTGGGGCGAGGTGTGTGCAGTGTGGACAAAGAGCAGGAGCCCAGCCTGTGGGGTCAGGATGGGGGAAGAGACATTTATGGGAGGGGGGGCTGGAAGGATGGGCAGGGGTTTCCCAGGCAAAGGGGGTGGGATGCACACCAGCCTGCAGCCACCAGAGCTCAAGTTCGTGAGGGTGCGTGAGGGGACATGGTGGCTGAGGTGGAGGCTTGGCAGGGCAGGTCCCTTTGGATTTGCAGGAGCAGCCAAAGCCCCTCAGTGGTTTCGGGACAAAGAAGAATTCATGAGTTTCTTGTCAAGAATCCAGATCAGTGCTGGAGTGGGGGAGGGGGCGTTAGCTTAGCTCACAGTGTGGCTGGCAGCCTTTATGTGACAAAAGGTGACAGAAACAAACCTGAAAAGAGGATAAGATACTAAAAGGAAGAAGGGAGAAGACAGGATTTGTAAGGAAACATGTCTGCTCAGAGCCCAACAGACACCCACTGGGACTGTTTCTGTCACTTTGCAGATGAGGAGACTAAGGCTCAAGTCCAGTGGTGGTGGCTCACGCCCGTAATCCCAGCTACTCAGGAGGCAGAGATCAGGAGGATCAGGGTTAGAAGCCAGACTGGGCAAATACTTTGAGAGACCTTATCTCGAAAAAACCCTTTACAAAAACAATGGGCTGGTGGAGTGGCTCAAGGTGTAGGCCCTGAGTTCAAACCCCAGTACTGAAAAAAAGAAAGGAGAGAGAGAGAGAAAACTCTCTCAACCCTGAGCAGGGGTCCACTCAGGGTTGGCCTCACAGGGAATGAGGGGCAGCGAAACTGTTTTAGACCTCTCTCTATCCTCTGAGTTCTAAGTTTGGGATTTTTTTTCTAGACCATTCTGCCACAGCTGCTGCTCCTTGCACCTCTCTCCCAAGGTGAGAAGGAGACAGGGGCTAGCGAGGCTTGTTAGAAACCCACAGAAATCAATGGTGCTAAGTAGATTCAGTTTTTCTTGGAGTAAGGGGCTCTTTACTCTCTAGGGGTTGACCCTTTAGAAACTTTACGGAAAACCAAGGACCCCCTTCCTCTGGGAAAAAAAATACCCACAAGTCCTTGCATCCAAAAAGAGGCAGGCCATTTCAGGTTTGAGAACCCTTCACAAGTCCCCTAAGGATCCACTGTGGTAGCCTTTCCAGAGCCATGCTAGCCTTACCCTGGCCATGGTTTTAGATTTTTAGGTATGCGTCAGCCTCACCTTGGGACTCTTGTAATGCAGGCAGGGGCCTGAACCCAACCCAAAAGCTTGAAAGTCTGCCAGGGCAGGGCCCTCACAGTCACCTGATGCCCATCTGACCCTGAACTAAATATCTGATTCTCAGCTCATTTTGTTCAGTCAAATCATGGTTTTGCTCTTAGCAAAATCTCCAGTTTCAAAAAGAAAAAAATATCCCCAAGTGGAGAGCTTGGTGTGGTGGTGCACTCCTATAATCTCAGCTACTCAGGAGGTGGAGGTAGGAGGAACTCAGTCCAGGCTGGCAGGTGAGGGGGATGGTGGTGGTGGAGGAAGAAATAAGAGACCTAGTCAAAAACAAGATAAAGTAAAAAGGGCTGAAGGTATGACTCAGGTGAGAGAGCACCTGCCTAGCAAGAGAGAGGCCCCGAGTTCAATCCCCAGTTCCATCAGGTAGAGTTAGAGAAAGATTCTGCACTGCTGTATGGACAGTCAGGGACTACCTGTGTGTCCCTATGGCAGGTGAAGTCTCGATTGTTACACTCTGATGTGATACCTATGGCTCCCAAAAGACAGCTGGAGACACTCAGTAGGGCTGGCATGTCACACATCTGGGGACCAGGAGGACACCCTGTTGATTCTCCAGACTCTACAGTTTTGGGAGGCAGTCAGATTGGCAATGGTTCCACCCCTGGTGGCTAGTTATCAGTCGGTTTTGTTTGTTTTTGTTTTAAAAACACAGCCATTTTATTTGTATGTGTGTTTTCATAATACTAGTAATTTGTGAACAATTTTACAAAATGTTTAACATTATGCTAAAACGTTCCATGCTGTTATGATGTCACTATAATAATAATTTTCCTTCTTAAAAAGTGTTTCTGCGGAGCTTGGGCGTTCATGCCTGTAATTCTAGCTGCTCAGGAGGCTGAGACAGGAGGATCACAAGTTTGAGGCCAAGCTGAGCAACTGAGTGAGACCCTATCTCAAAATAAAAAAGGATTGGAGATGTAGCTCCATGGGAGATAGAATGCTTGCCTGGCGTGCTCAAAGTCCTGTGTTCAACTCTCAGTACCACACGAAAAAATTAACAGTCTTACTGAGGTACAAGTGACAAAACCTACACCTATGTAATGTGCACAATTTGATGAGTTGTGGACACATGCAAACAGCGGGAGCCCATCTCCACCACCAGCGCGAGGCAAATATTCATCACTTTCCAGTTTCTATGCCCGGTTAGCTTTTTGGGGTTTGGTAAGAATAGTTTTTATTCTTTTGGTAAGAATAGTTAACAGCAGCCCCACCTTCTTAGCAAATTTTTAAGCACACAATATAGTCACACACTATTGTGAACTGCAGGCACAGTGCTGTCTGGTGGAACCCCAGAATGGACTCATTTTGACATTTTTCTACTCAGCAGCTCCCCGTTTCACCTCCGCTGAGTCGCTGGCCACCACCGTCCCGCTCCTGTGACTTCCAGGAGTTCTTCACAGGGACACATGGCTTTGTGATCTGTGTCTCAGCCAGCTTCCCACATCCTTCCTTGGCCCTTGTACTGGGTTGATTGGTGACCTCAAAAGGATATGACCCACAGCACTGGTGAATGTGATCTTTTGGCAAAAAAGTTCTTTGCAGATATAATTAAGGATGTCAAAATGAGACTAGCCTGAATCACTCAGGTGACAAGAGACTTTTAAGAGACAAACAAATAATAAGTATTTTTTAAGAGACAGAAAAGCTGGAAGTGGTGGCTCACTCCTGGAATCCTAAGTACTCAGGAGAAAGAAATCAGGAGGTCATGGTTAGTGGCCAGCCAGGGGAAATAAAGGTAGTGAGACCCCCATCTCAATCAATAAGCCAGGTGTGGTGGTACGCACCTGTCATTTAGCTACATGGGAGGTCATAGGCCATTGGTTGTAGGATCAAGGTCAGAGGCCAGCCCTGGAGAAAAAGCAAGACCCTACCTGAAAAATAACTAAAGCAAAAAAGGGCCAGGAGTGTGGCTCAAGTAGAGCACCTGCCTACAAGTGTGAGGTCCCGAGTTCAAACCCCAGTACTGCCAAAAAGAAAAAAAGTGGGAGAAGGCACAGAGGAGGCCATGTGACAATGGAGGCAGAGATTGGCAGTATTGGGTCACGACCCAGCAGCCATCAGATACTGGAAGGGTCGTCCCCAGGAGCCTTTGGAGGGAGTGTGGCCCCGCACACACCTTGGCTTTGGATTTCTGTTTTCAGAAATGCAAGACAATAAATTTCTGTTGTTTTACACCAGCAAGTTGGTGCTAATTTGTGATGGAAGCCTTAGGAAGTGAATACAGCCCTCAAGCCAGTCCCAGCAGTCTGGCATGCTGGGATGGTGGCTGGTGCCAGTGGCTGGTGGCAGGAGGAATTGACAGCATGTGGTGTGGATGGCCATGGCTCAGCAGCACTGACTCATTCCCCAGGGAGGCGGCAGGAGGATCGAGGCACCAAGGAGCTGCTCAACTTGACAAGAGAAACCCATCTCCATTCCTGTGGGATGGAGTGACCGCAGGCGGGGGATGGGGAGGGGGTGCTCTCTGCCTTCCCCGAGTCAGCCCAATGCTGCTGAGGACAGAGCAGATGCCAGGATGCATCTCCCACCTCCAAAACAGCCCTGTGCAAACCCAGGGGGAGGCAACTTGGAATCCTGCAGCACAAGAGGTGTGAGCCTAGCCATCCCGGCGGGCACACAGTCAGTGCTTAATAACTATGTTCTGTACCCTTGGGATCCCCAGCATGGTAGCATGTGGGCAGGGGTGTCGGTCCTCAGAAGGCAGCAGCTGGGTACCTTTCTGTAAGATTGGCCCTGGAGTCCCAGGACAGGGACCGCCAGGTCCCTCTTACTCACAGCAGGGCAGCATCGGGCCCATCGGGTGCCAGGTGCTGTACCTCCCTATCACCCCAGCCTCAGAACATCTAGGCAAGGCTGGCACTGTCAGTGCCTCCATTCTGCAGATGGGAAAAGAGACCCCAAGCTTCAACCATAGCCTCCAGTGTCACAAATTGAACCCAGGGCTTTGGGACTTGAGCTTCCCAGCTCTTCATCATTGAGCCTGTCCCTCAATAAACACTCCTTGAGCGAGTTGAGGGGATGCTTCAGGCACCAAGGTCATGGCTCCTATTCCACACGCCCACTCCCCCTTGGAAAGGAGCAGCTCAGCCACACGCGAGGAGCCTCATCACAAGCCAGCCCCCTGGAGTCCGAGGATGAAGAGCTGTGGAGTGAG